ACGTAGATGGCGGTGGAAGGAGGCGGCGCGGCGGGCCGAGCTGCGGGAATTCGATGATAAAATTTCCGGGGCAAATTGTTTCCGTGAAAACAGTGCTCGATGTTCGTTCCCGCATATACTCTGTTCGATGCTCGTATAGTTCATACGCGGTACATTTGTAAATGATTGATACAGATTTCCGATCAAATACAGCGCGGTCACAAAGTCGAGCTCGCTCGAGTTTCGAAATATTTGGAAAATTCTCTTTTTATACGTTCCCGAACAAACATGGTATTGTTGCCAATTGCTCGAACACGGCAAATATTTGATTATTTTTTCTTATCCATAAGAAGTCGTAGCGTTACGTGTTGTTGTTGTTAGCTTGTATGGCTCTCTCATATTCGATGCAGATTGCGCAAGGAAATAATCGACGCATTATGCGCGTTCTACGCGAATTGAAGCGTATTTCGAGTGTCGATTGGCAGACGACGATGCGATTTCGAAAAATAAACGCGTTCGCCATTTTGCCTATTCGTCTTTCGAAAACATCGTCGATGCTTATTATTGATTTTTTAAGGTCAATTTTCATGAATACATGATAATACATAGTTCTTACTAACTTCTATACATAGTTATAAACAATAGTTATATACAAAGTTCTATACATAGTTCTATACATAGCAACTTCTAATACATAATTCTTATAAAATGGATGTACTGTTATTTTAATCTATTTTTACATAATACCTATGAGGTGTTAGAATTCATTGAGAGCAAGAAAAATTAAGGACTCCGCCTGTTAATAGAAACAACAGAAATCACGAATTTGTAGAATATTCACGGGACCATGAAAATTAATTGCGCGAAACTCGTTGGGGAGATGGTTTCATAACATTTGCGTAGTCAGCGTTCAAAGTGTCGGGTTTCATTTTCAAATGGGACCAACGAAATATGAAGCGAATTTGATAGCATAACATCGATCAATGTAGCAGACAGTGTGTACAATTTTATTTTTAACAAACGCAGCTATCAAAGGTATTGCAATCAGTCAGACAAAAACATTTATACAATAACTGAAACGCTGAAACGAAATCAATTCGCTTACTAACCTGAATTAATTATTTAATTCAATTAATATTAAACAGATCTACCGAAAACAAAATTACGAAATCTCATTGTTTCTGTTTTAGAATACAAAAGCCTGGACAAAGTTGACACGAATACGTCGAAGCAAGTAAAATGGTCACTTCGATAACAATGACGTCGTAACGTATTTTATAAAAATCGGCTTGTCCAGTTTTCATAACTCCGTCACGGGGTTACAATAAATTTTATTATTGCGGTCTTCATTTTTTTTTCACGTATTTACGTAAACGAACAGTTTAATTAACTTCCGTGAAACGTGCGAGAGAGTTCTGTTTTCTCTTTTCAAGCGTATGAGAGCGGGCGTATTTCTGCGTCCGAGTGTACATATGTACAATTAAGTTTTCCCCGAAACTATTAAATTTCTATTTGCAAAATTTTCTGGCGCTGCCAACAGTCTCTAAATTAAACATTGGAGGGAGCATATATATTCGCGGATGAAAAAATCGAATGTCGTCACCGAATAATATTCAATTATTTGTATTTCCGTGTGGTATTTATTGGAAGAAACAAAAAATCTTTCAACTGATTTTTTAAAATTTGCCTCTGTAGAGGAGTAAATAAGTAAATAAAATAAAGGGATAATATGTAAAATTAATAAATAATAAAAATAATTAATATAATAATAATATATAATAATATATAATAATAAATAATAATATAATATAATATAATATAATATAATATAATATAATATAATATAATATAATATAATATAATATAATATAATATAATATAATATAATATAATATAATATAATATAATATAATATAATATAATATAATATAATATAATATAATATAATATAATATAATATAATATAATATAATATAATATAATATAATATAATATAATATAATATAATATAATATAATATAATATAATATAATATAATATAATATAATATAATATAATATAATATAATATAATATAATATAATATAATATAATATAATATAATATAATATAATATAATATAATATAATATAATATAATATAATATAATATAATATAATATAATATAATATAATATAATATAATATAATATAATATAATATAATATAATATAATATAATATAATATAATATAATATAATATAATATAATATAATATAATATAATATAATATAATATAATATAATATAATATAATATAATATAATATAATATAATATAATATAATATAATATAATATAATATAATATAATATAATATAATATAATATAATATAATATAATATAATATAATATAATATAATATAATATAATATAATATAATATAATATAATATAATATAATATAATATAATATAATATAATATAATATAATATAATATAATATAATATAATATAATATAATATAATAATATAAATAATTAATAAAATAAATAATATAATAATATAATTATAATAAAATAATAAAATAATATAATTAATTAATAAATAAAATAATTAATAAATAATAAATAAAATTCTCTTGCACCGAAAAGGTGTTATTCAAATTTTTGCGGACAAATCTCCTTTTCTCGAGTCATTCTTTCGCAAACAAAAATTCTTCGAAAATCTTCGTCATTTAATGCTTCCTCGCCTCCTCTGGCTTGTCCATCTTCGGAATTCATGCTCCTCTTTTTCCGGGGCGACGTTAATCCGCGGATTTGAATACCGTCGGGTCGGTTCGATCAGAAATTCAACACGACCGTTTTACGGTCGCGCGGCGTTGCCCCGGCCGGATTCGAAAAATATTTTCGCTCTAATCCGCTCCCTCTGTTTCTGTGTTCAGCGGCCGTGCTCATGGTCCGACCCTTTCCCGACCCCCTCCGCGCCCTGCGGTCTCTTCGTCTGGTCCAGTGTGTTCCGTTCATGAATATGGAAAATTAGACCTTTCTGTGACAGAGTCCTCGTTTTTTCCCCCGTTCCGCCTCCCGTTCCCGTCCACCGCGTCCCTCCCCCCTTCCCGCTCCCTTCCGACCGCCGACGCACCCTCTTTTTATCTCCGTCGCGCGTCCGCATTCTCGCAGCTCGCAAATTGATTCCGCGCAAGTGGTGCCCCGGCTCGCGACGCCGCCGTTCTCTTGTTGATTCAAAGGGGGAACGGATTGGTTTACTGGGCGCTCTCGGACGAAAATTGAAATTCACGGGACGCCGCGAAACCCGCGGAGAATGGATTCGTGGCCAACGAGATGGCGACACTGATACGGTTTATCTTGGCGACGAGAAGATACCGTCGTCGGTCAGGATTTTCCTCGGGACGTCGAAACGCCTGTACTTTGCTCGTCGGATCGCTGTGTCTTTCGATGACAGCGGTTGTTACGTAAATTGGAAAATAGCGTTCCTTCTCCGATGGAGATTGTGGGAGAACTGCACACAGCTTTTGCATTTCAAATTTAACCTTTCGCGAATTATATTCGGCATTTTTCTTAATTTAAGCGATCCTTTCGCGACTGAAATACAATTTTTATGAGGAAGATATTAACCCTTTCCTCTCGAACGGCGATTCCAAGGCGCCGTTAAAGATTGTTATGTCACGTTTCAAAATAATTTTGTTAATCAAATTCGCTCGTATTTTTGAAGAACTGTTGGAAGTATAACTGTTGCATCAATCACAAAATTCAATTTCATATTGCATAAAATGCATTAGGTTGTATGAAATGGAAATACAGTGGGTCGGAAAAACTATATTAAATTTTCCGTTAATTTGGCTTCGAGTGCAAAGGGTTAAATACCGAATGGGAAAGGGCGATTAAGAGATATTCTATTATTGAAAATTTTTACTCTCGCGTTTTTGATCCTCGAATCAGATTTTACTATTTTAATGATAGATACGATTTCAAAAATAAATCATTACGACTTATAAAAATCGTACTTTTTAAATATTATAGTACTTCGTTAAATGAACTTCTGAAGTGATACGAATCGATAAATTAACGTTGCGAAATTTACTACAATTAAAGAATGCTTCTGATGAACTTTTTGATACGAAACATAGATTGAGACATAAAAAACTTCAATTTTTATGTAAAAGATATCAAATACAGAATGGAAAGGGGAGATTAAGAAATCTTCTATTGTTAAAGATCTTTACTCTCGCGCGTTCTATGATCTTCGAATCGGATTTAAACTATTTTAATGATAGGCACGATTTTAAAAATAAATTATTACGACTTATCAAAATCGTACTTTTTAAATGTTATAGTACTTTGTTAAATAAACGTCTGAAGTGGTACGAATCGCGAAATTTACTCCAACTAAGGAAAGCTTCTGATGAACTTTTTGATACGAAACATAGAGTGACATAAAAAAAATTCAATTTTTATGTAATAGATATCAAATACGAAATGGGAAGGGGAGATTAAGAGATCTTCTATTGTTAAAGATCTTTACTCTCTCGTTTTATCGCTATATATATCCCCCCATTTCATAGGCTTCATTCATTAGTTTCATAGGTTAAAAAATGAAAAAAAAAAAAAAGATTGACATGAAAAAAACAATACATTTAACCACGTTAAATTTATATTTCTATATAAATCATTATCTTCTATATAATCATTATCATTATCTGCTCGCAGTGAAAGTCTGTTAAATATTCGATACTTGTGTTTGTGCTTTTAATTACATCGGCGGTAATTATATCGGTGTAAGAAATAATTCGAAAATTGAAGAAATATGTGTACGGAGACGAATTTGTCGTGCACGGAGCTCCGCGAGTGTCTGGTTCTTCGTAAAACGTGCCTAAGATAGCCTCTAACCGCTTACTCGTTTAGAGGAACACCGGTAAGGAAGACGTAGAGCATCCTCCAATAACCAGTCTAAGATCCAGAAAGAAAGGAAGGCCAGTAAGAGCGAGGAGCACTCCAACAGCCGATCAAGATCGTCCTCTACTCACCCAGTTCTGACGAAGTTCGCGAAGTACTGCACGATGCTCTCCGAGAGTGCCACTTCAGACTTGGTATAGTTCCTTGGGAAGTGGCCGAAACCTTCCACCAGCGGCGCACCGAAAACGAAGGGCAATTCCTCGCCATGAACCGAGCCCATCTTCTGAAATCAACAAACACGCGAATCGCTTAACTTGTTATGTCAACGTGTTAAGGCATCGTGCAAATGAAATACTTCGCTCTAAAGGGAGTGGCCAGTTTCATCGGTAATAGCAAGCCAACTTCGTGTTCCCTTTTTTCAGTACCTACTGCAGCTACTAATTTTTAATTTTTAGAGCACGTAATAGCATGCTAGGTGAGCGTTTAAGTAAGAATTACTATATCTATATAATTACTATATATCATATACTATATCATTATTATACGGGGTGTCCCAAAATTATGGTACTTTTGGGATATCAGAGATTTCTGAGGTCATTCGAAGCAACTTTTTCCTTTACAAAAATGTTCTCCGAGGTGTCGTTAACGAATTATTAACGAAAAACACTGACCAATGAGAGGCGAGCTCGGCTGGCGCGAGGCGGCCAAGCCAACGAGCGTGCGAAGCCCAGTTCCACTCATTGGCTCGGCTGCCTAGCGCCATGCGAGCTCCGAGCTCTCATTGGTCACTGTTTTTCGTTAATAACTCGTAAACGAAGACGCGGATTGCATCTTCGCTAAGGAAAAAGTTACTTCAAATCACCTCAGGAACCCCTCATTTCCCGGAAACACCATAATTTTGGGACACCCTGTATATCAGTTAGAAGTTTGAAATATGGGGTATAATGAAATTATAGAAATATAGTAAATACTCACTAATTGACGCTCAGCTTGGAAACAAGTGGGCAATTTAGGAAGAGGAGATACGATTATTGCAGCCTTGCGGCACGTTTTTATAGTTACCGATTGTCAATAACTATAAAAACGAGCTGGATAGCTCGATTAATCGTACCACCGCTTCCCAAATTGTCCATTTTTATTTCCAAGCTGAGTGTCAATTAAGAAGAATTTATTGTACTTGCTACTTTTATTAGTAAAAGCACACAAATTTTCAACTCGATCAGTCGAATGATTACTGAAAAAAAAGAACACGAGTGGTGGAAAATGTGATCTTCCAGCATTAGTATTGTTATATTAAAAGGACCAGAACAGTTGTAAATTGTCGTAAAGTAAAATGTTGTAAATTGTAATTTCTAAATTGTAAATTGTAAGCTGTAAATTGAAATTTCTAAATTGTAAATTGTAAGCTGTAAATTGTAATTTTTAAATTGTAATTTCTAAATTGTAAATTGTAATTTCTAAATTGTAAATTCTAAGCTATAAATTGTAATTTCTATATTGTAAATTGTCATTTCTAAATTGTAAATTTTAAGCTGTAAATTGTAATTTCTAAATTGTAAATTCTAAGCTGTAAATTGTAATTTCTAAATTGTAATTTCTAAATTGTAAATTGTAATTTCTAAATTGTAATTTCTAAATTGTAAATTGTAATATCTAAATTGTAAATTGTAAATGCAAGAAGACCTAATCCAGATCATGTTCCAAACATCTCTAATTACATACATTACTTCGTCAAGTCACAACAATCAAATTAGCTATTGACAAATCTACGAAGCCATAACGAGGTTATTTTCTCACTAAAACTTTTCGAAAATAAAGTCCCTAATAAAAATATCTTGATTCTATGTTTCCAACTGATTTTTCCTCCTTTTGTACCCTTCGCTCTAGATAAGTCGCAACTTTTAAACTTTATGTGCGCGTCGGACGACCGGGCAACAGTTTTTCCAGAACTTCGCAGATTTCGCAAGTTGTTCAAGCTTCCGCCGATGGAAACGATGGGGCCATCAATGAGATTCCCATCACTTTTCTCTGGTCACGTAATTACCGCGACGACGGAGGAATTCATGAGATAGTAATGCGTCGCTTAGCGGTCGCCCCGAGGGATTTACGAAACGCTATCCTCTAGGTGCGGATTTGGCCGCAACCTCGATCACGACGGACACGTCAGGTGCGCGTAATTCAATTTCTTCGGTGTCCGAGACCTTTCGACCGGAATTACCACGTTCCTGACTGGATGGCTCGCCTGTTACAAGATGAAACGGCGACGCCGGTTTAATATCGGCACGAAAGTGCGCCTGCAATGTTTCAGGTTTTCCGAGCTCCACTGGTTTCACGGTGTCCAGCGAATTTTGGATTGCAAGTGATCTTGACTAGTCTAAAGTCGTGCAATAGAAAGTGCACTATGTAACGACTCGGCAGTTTTTATATGCCAAGAACAATGGAAATTACACCGTGGCCCCCTGAGCGAACTATATAAAGAGTGCATGGCAGTCAACGTGTTAAGGAGGTATAAAATGCAAGAAAACATATATCGACACGGTCTAATAACATTTTTCTCTTTTTTTCTTTTTACAGCGGATAATCTTTTAGTGGACGAAGGAAAATTTTCCTTAACACTGAAGTTACCGAGTTCTAAAGATAACTACCATATGTTGTTTTAAAAAAATTAAAACAAGATTGTATTTACTTAGACCTTCCGTCATTTTTATTGCAATGTAAACTTGAATAGAGTTTACTGAAACGTTCCTTGAGAAACAATCTTTACAATTTCAATATATTTTAACATAAAGAATGGGTCGCATTGACCGGCTAGGTCAATATAGTTCTATACTGAAAATGAGAATTTGCATAAAAATCCGCAGTCTGGTTATAATTTATCTGTGTACAATGTACAGTAATTGATGCCGAAATTGTGCACAAAAATGGACAATTTGGGAAGAGGAGATACGATTATTCGAGCCTTGCGGCTCGTTTCTATAATTATTGACAATCGATAACCATAAGAAAGGAGCCACAAGGCTCGAACAATCGCATCTCCTCTTCCAAAATTGTCCATTTTTGTGGACAATCTGAGCGTCAATTAGAGAGACATTACTGTATTTAGTAAAATAATCAATGAGACCAACTGGAGACTCTGAACAGAACCCAAAACTGGAAAAAATGTAGAAAGTCTTAATTTTTAGGGATAATTTGAAGGGACTGAAGTTATGGAAATTAAGACTTTAAAGAGAATTGTGTAAGTCGGATGACAGGCACGCGCGTCCGAAAGTCTACGATGACTTTTAGACGCGAGTCAACGCGGCTCGTTTCGGTTCGTTTCGGCATTAAAACGTTTGGGTTACCTATCTAGTTATTTATTGATCTCATCCACTGGGGAACGGGAGTTCACCGAGTTTCGAGTCAGTGCTTCGAAGCCAGTTGATATCCGAGCCCACGTTAATGATGTTTGGAGACGTAAACGTGTCCCGGAGTTTATCAAGTGAAGTTTTTAATGCGAGCTTGTACTCTTTTACAAGAAGTTGGGGGAGAGGAAGTTGGATTCCTGTTTACTTTTCTTTTACCGTTTTCAAGAGTGCAGCAGAAAAATAACACTTGCTTTTGACGTGTGTCATTCGCGCGCGCGCGCGCGCGAGTTAGAAGAATTATAGATGATTTGTGAATTATGTTATGTTTGTCAATTCTTATAGGAAATGTTTCATCCGATCTGATACTTGTCTTGACTTTTTTGCTATTGCAAAAAGTGATCTACAGCTCCGCGATAACAAACAATGAAAACCAACAATCATTCTGGTCCAAATGTTGAAGCATGTACTTTCGGAATCTTTAGTTAGTTTTTCAAAGACCTTTCCACATCATAGAGGATTATTGAAGAGTGAGATTTTTTCGTTTGAACATCTTTCAATTAAATTATTTCAATTGTAATTATTATAATATTATTATATTATTATTATAATATTATTATATTAATATTATAATATTATTATATTATTATTATATTATTATTATAACATTATTATATTATTATTATATTATTATTATAATATTATTATATTATTGTATTATTATTACATTATTTCAATTGTAATTATTAATATTTATATACCGATTGCTGCTGAAAAATGCTGTAAATCTTCTTCGGAGTCACTACATTTCCGTTAAAAAATATTTCATTCTTAAAATTGTGTTTTTATATTTCATCGACCCTATGATAAATGTTTTCTTGATTATTTGACAAACTTATAATTAGACTACGGAGCTTTATGCAAAAGAGAAATTTCTTGCATCAATTGCAAAATAAAGCTTGCTTTTATAATTAAAAATAATTGAAACCGGTGTATTGGTATTTTCCAATCACCTGAACTTTTTCACCGTTCTAAATTGTACCTTCTCACTTGCGTCGTAAATGCATAAAATCCGCGCTCCACTTATAATAAACTTTGGCCAGAAATTGTTACGTTAATAAAAATTAAAGCTTCCATATTTGACACTATACTTCGGAGCTTTCGAATGATCTGCTTATAAACTGTTTTCCATGTAATTTCACTGGAAGAAGGAGTTCTGCTGAACGCATTTCAGGGATTATCGACAAAGGCAGCCGGGGCAATTACGATCTCGAATCGCTGCATTAGTCCCATACTTCGTTTAAACACGCCCTTAAGCCGTTTGTTACAACGGCCGATTAAAGAATTACGCAGAGCCGTTGTTCCCGGCGAAATTCCTCGCCGATTAGCTCGGTTTCGATCACTCTCGCGTCCACCATCGCGTCCGTCATTAACTCGTGAAATCGGCCGCCCTTCTGTCTTCGAGCGGAACATTCGCGAGTTTCATTTATTCCGTTTCGTTAATCTCAGCTTTCCTATGCAACGCGTTCAGAAATCGAATGAAAATATCAGGACCGGCGTGGCTCTCGGTTCTTCGTCCGGAAAGCGGCGCATCTCACGGATCGCAAAGAAGTTGCACCTCGAGCCAGTCCTCCTCCTCCTTTGACATCCACTTTTTTGCAACTCAGATGTCACTTGATTAATGTAAAGTACGTCTGCGAGCGGCGCCAACTCGATTCCCGCATTCGTTTGCTTGCTCCGTCGGATTCCGTTTGTGCTCTCGCGTCATCTTTGTGCTATCAGGTTATACAGCCTTCCTTTTTTTTCCATCTTTTCATAAATCCTACGACGCTGCATATTTACCATACTCGAGTACGTATCGTCGAGTCGATCGGTCGAATTGTAATTCTCCGCTTTCAGAGCCGGCGCGATGATATTACTTGCGTTAGCTTTTTGCGCGGAA